GCCATTACATCTGCAGGGGGAGAGTGAGTGACCTCTTAGCTTTCTGTCATGATTCTCCCTACCTGACCTTCCTCACTTTGTCACCAGATATTTCCTTCTTGCCAAAGGTAGTCTCAGACTTCCATCTGAATAAACAGGTTATTTTACCAGACTGTATCATAATCCACAGATGGACATTGAGCGCCTTTGGCGTACTCTGGACGTGAAGCAGGCCCTCTTATTCTACCTGTATAGGACACATTTGACTCGTAAGGACCTACACCTCTTTGTTTCATATGCCCCAAGCTCTATGAGGTGTAAAATCTCAATTTAGAGGCTCTCTAAATGGCTGGTTAAGATTGTTCACTTCTGTTACCTCCTGGAGAAAAGACCTTATTGCACCTAGAGCTCATTCCACCTGAGTGATCTCCATGTCTACTGCCTTTCTGCGAGGGGTGCCTCTGCAAGACATTTGCCACTTGGCCTCATGGGCATCTCCAAACACGTTCATCAAACATTATGCTCTCGATGTTTGAGCACCAACGTTCCCGACTGGGCCATTCGGTTCTGCAATCTGTGGTCTCCAGAGATGCTGCCAGCACCCTCCTCCAGATAGGCCTAAACTTGCTAATCTCCCATAGGTGTGATGCATAGAGACCACGACGAAGATAAACAGGTTGCTTACCTGTAACTTTGAGTGGTCATCTATGCATTCACACCACCCACCCTCCTTTCCCACTGCTGTCAGCCCTTCTCATCTACTTTTTTTTTTTTGGAGGTTGCAGCAGTCAGAAGGAACTGGTGGGATACTGGAGCCCCACCTACTGGGCATGTGTGCTGGAGTCCTGCGCATGCTTGAGGGAGGGGCTCCAAATCCCTAGATGAGTTTGATAGAAGTTTCCTGGATTGGAGTTGGCGCAGGTGACTGTTCCCATAGGTGTGAGTGCATAAATGACCACTCGAAGATCCATCAGTTACAGGTAAGCAACCTGGTTTTTTGTAGACAAACACATGGCCCTCAGTCTATGTCAGGATGCCTTCTCATGTTCTTGACCAGCATGTGAAGCAGCTTATGTACAAAGTTTGCAATCCCCAACCATTTAATGTTTTCCCCAGGTCCTAGGCTCAGAACACTGAGCATGAGATTTCTGTAATGAATGTCAGTAAATCAAAAGTAGGTTTGCAGCTTACAGATAGACACCTGAACAGCATACACAAGATTGCTACAGCACAGACATTTTGATGCAATAATTCAGAGCAAGAGGTGTCAGTTATCAGAAACTGTTAAATAGACAAAATATTGCAAGAGTGCTAGTGTTTTAAGCATGTTTTATTTATAAAGTTTTTCAAAGTCTTTAATTGTGCTCGTGTCCTTTGTAAAGTTTATATCTCCGCTATCTGGCATTACATTTTATGACACACAGGGCCTGGCCTGACAAGGTCTCATTTCTGTTGGATCTGGCCCTCATAACCAATGAATTCGACACCCCTGAAAAAATAGTTTCAGAGGGTAGCCATGTTGGTAGAACAGCTGGATTTGAGTCTTGTAGCACCTTAGAGACCAACAAGATTTTCAGGGTATGAGCTTTTGAGAGTCAAGGCCCCTTTGTCAGATTTAAGTATCCACTGATGGGGCCATGTTGAGAATTAGCTGTGTTGGAGAAACTCTACTATGTCATGTTGTGTAGCTACCCCAGGAAAGATGCTGCCTTCTGGCATCTCGTGTTTAGGCATTGGGATGCTCTTCAGAATGAGAAGGGAGGGGGTCAAAAGCACCTATATTCTCCCCTGGCTAGGAGGCTTTTGTTGCAGTCACCAGCCTCCAGCTGGCCCCTGCCCCCACTCTTTTCACCCTCTCCCCACTCTCACCAGTCAATCCCCACGCCTGCTTCCTTTCCCTGAGACTTCAGATTTCCCTCACCGTGGCGCAGGATCCCTGCTCATCCCTCCCAGCCTCCTTGCCGCTGCTTCCTTCTGTGGCTTGATGGGCCGGTCTCCGGCTGAAACCCCATGCAAGATGAGAATGAGGGAGGCATTAGGGCCACACTTGCTGTTCCTCTGTGGGGCTGTTGGCCGGCAGCTCCTCACACTGTTCTTGAGGTTGGTCTGCCGCCTGGTATGGCTCCGGCTTGGCCTCTGTCGCCCCAAGGCATTTCCTGCTGGCAGTTGGGTCTGGCATGGCCGGACTCTGCCTGCTGTCCCTGCCGGGCAGCTCTTTGTCAGCCCCCAGAGTTCCTGGTAAGTGTGTGGGGGCAAAGGTGCCCCTCTCCTCATCGTGGAGTCCGGAGCTGCTGGAGCTGATAGTCAAGGGGTGGGATTGCAGCTCTGGACACTATACACATTATACTTCTCACCAGCAGGAAGTCAAAAGTTGGGATTTTGCACCTAAAGCTATCTGTTTTTCTGGAGCTAGACATGTTCTTGTTTATTAACTTGGTTACTTATTTCTACTTCAGATTCTTAGTTTATTTTTAGCTGAAATGTTTAGTGCTTATGCTAGTTTTGTACCTTGGTTTATAAAGCGATTCCATAAATTACTGTAATATTCCAAAGTGCTTTGCATAAAATCATCTTTACTGGATCCCTGTTCTGTATTTTATGATTCACTCAAACTAATTTTGAAGAATATTAGCATTTGCATGTATATATTTCAGGATATTCTAAATTCATTATCTCAGTTATTCTTACAACAGCTCTGTAAAGTAGGTCAAAGTTATCCCAATGCAGGTTTGAAGCTGAAAAGCATAGTGGCTTGCTTAACTGAGATGGCAGTTCATAACTGGCTAATACTTTGTGTTTTTAACCTATAGCACACAGTTCTGTTTTGAAATAAGCTGTAAAGGTAGCCTCTGGTTTTGCTTTCACAGGAAAATTGTAGCTGTTTTACATACCAAAGACCATTTCATGTTAAAGAACCTGGATGTACGTTAGAACTTGTTTTGCATTCATACCACTTAAGAGCATCCTCAAATATACTAAGCCAGGGGGTGTCAAACTCATTTGTTTTGAAGGCTGGATTTGACATAAATTGGACTTTGTCGGGCTGGACTATGTGTGTCATAAAATGTAACGCCGGGTAGCAGAGATAAAAACTTTATAAAGGACACAGACAAACACAATTAAAGATACTATAGCAGCTATTCCATTGGAGCCCCACATTAGGAGGCCGTGTGTGTTAAAACTAATATTCCTCTGCAAAACTGAAGTTTCTTGAGTTTGTTGAACTCTATATTTTAACTATGGTTAGTCCCCCCCCCCCACATAAATTACAAATATAAATGGTCTGAGCCTAGGATACAGGGGAAGAACATGAAATGACTGAGCATTGGAA